CCTCTTGGGGCGGGGTGGGGGGGGTGGGGGCAGGTGGTGATAGGCAGCTGCAACCTTGTAGCCCTCAAGGTTCTTCTGTGAGTTGAGGAGTTTCTGGATGCCTCCCGAAGGTCATGGCAAGAAATGATGTCTGCCCCGAGGAAAGGGGCTTGGGGCACCAGATCTCCAGGGGACAACTGGTCCACGTTGTCCTGTGACATTCAACTGAATTCTTTTTTGCTGCCTGCTAAGTTCTCTCTGGGCATGACCTCAATGGCCTCCTAGTACTTTGAGTGTGGGATTGTTCCCATTTTGCAGGTGGAGAAAGCGAACATCAGGAAGTGTTTGGCTAAAGAGACTTGGAAGCGGCTCAAGGTCAGGCACAGTAACCGGGGGAACTAGGATCTGAGCCTGCGTCTCCCCAGCTCCAATACCAGGGAGCTTAGCCCTTACATCACTCTGCCTCCTGGGGCTTTCTTTTGGGAAGTGGTGACAGACCCGAGCCAACCAAGGAGGTAACTCAGAATTGGCCAGGGCAGGTCTTGCTTCCACCGAAATGGCCACTTAGAAACAGCCCTGCAGGCAGATCCTTGTGAAATAATAGTTTCAGGGAAGTCTTCCCTGCCCATCCCCCCAGCCTGGAGGGCCTATTCCTCCCTGCAGAGGGCTGGGCTCTGAGCTTCAGCCCTTTCAGGGTTAAACAGTAACCTTTTTACTGCTTGTGGTTGAGCACATTTTGGCGAGGAACAAGCCCGGCCTTGAGCAAACAGGAGACCGGCCATGCCCCTTCCCTTCCCCAGCCACCCTTCTGGGGGCTGAGAGGTTTTCTTTTGCCTTGAAGTCCCTCACCTGATTGCTTAGCTTTACGGCGACTGTTCTAAAAAGTTGGATGGGAAAAGGCCCAGTTATTGTGAAAAAAGGAAAGCTTTCAGTTGGGTTGGTTGTGTTTTTTTTTTCCTTCTCTGAGGGTAAGAATCAAAGAGGTTTCTGTAAGGGAACTTAAAAAGCAATTTGGTCGCCCTGGCCAGGGTGGCTCAGTTCGTTGAGCATCATCCTGTGTATAGAAAGGGCTCTGTTTCGATTCCCAGTCAGGGCACATGCCCAGGTTGTGGGTTCAATCCCTGGTCAGGGTGCGTGCGGGAGACAACAGATTGATGTTTCTCTCTGAGTTTTTCCCTCTCCCTTCCTCTCTCTCTAAAAAGCAATAACATATTTTTAAAAAATCAATTTAGTCACTTTCTTTAGGTGTTTGCGTCGGAGAACTGAAACCCATGGCTGTTTCTGGTTCAGGTTATCCAAAAAGATTGCGTCTCTCCTCATAGTGACACCTTCACGGCGCCGTGCCCTATTTTGTGCCAAGTGCTTAAGGTGTAGGAACTAATTTCATCTCCAATCAAGGCCCTTTCTCACCTTCTACATAGACTGGATTCAGGCCCAATTTTTGCCAAAAAACTGTGATGATGATAAGAACAGGCTCAGATCTAGTTAGTTATAATCATCATAAAAGTTTCTGTTTAACCTAATTAACTCCTCATCACTGCTCTGTCCCCAGGACCTAAGACAATGCCCAGACAATTATAGGGCTGATACATTTTTGTTGAATAAATGAATACACGAATGATTTTGTATTCCTTTTCCAGGCCCCTCTCCTCCCCTCTCAGGCCCTCCACAGACCCAAAGGAGCAGTGGCTAAATCAGAGCAAGGGGTTTTGAGGGCTGGAACCACTCTGGGTGGGCACTTGGATCCTGGGGGACACTTAAGGATGCAAGATGCCCCCACCCCCCAAACAGGCAGAAAATGTTCCATGATCTGCTGCTATGAAGCTGGCTCCCTGGCCCTACCCCAACATTTAGGGAGTGCAGGTTACATTCCAGATCCCAGTAAGGGTCAAGCACCCCTGGAACCTGGCTGATCTCCTTTTGAATGACTGAGCAGTCATTCGTTCACATGGGGCTGAGGTCTGAAGGTGGAGGGTGCCTGGCTTGGGGTGAGAACACGATAGATGCTGGAGAAGTGAGGAAGTATTTTCAAAGTGTACAATGTGTACATTGTTTAACAAATTCAAGCAAGCCCATGGAACACAGGCTCTTCTCCTAGGCCCTTCACTGAGAAAATGGGCCCTCAGACTGAAAAAGTCACCGCTCGGTCACTCTCGGAGCTTATGATATAGTCTAAGAGGAGAGAGAAAGCTGGTCAGAATTCGTATCGGGAAGGAAGGGGAGGGGCAGTATCTTGTCAGGGAAACCAATGGATTCCTGATACTATCATGCAGCCAGATGCCGGAGGAGCTCTGGATGAAAGATGACCGAGGCCCTCTGACCCCTGCCCACCCATGGCAGATACACTTGCTTGGGTGCCCGGGTGAGGGCCTGCCTGGTGGGCGAGGGCTCCCACGCAGGTGCCAGGTCTGTTCCTCTACCAGCTTGGAGTTTCACTGTTTGCAGTTCCACTTTAAACAAAATCTCTTTGGCATTTTCACTATTGTTAAAAAAAAAAAAAAAGACTTGGCTTCTGGCCAGACGCGCCCTGTGAGCAGGTATTGCATTTTCCCTTCGCTTCATTCCCGATCAGAGATTATTCATTTATGAATGGGTGGCTGTAAAAACTTGCCTTGTGCATATGAAAACTGAACCTGGAAATTTTTAATCGCCAGTGAGTTTTGCTTTTACGGAAGGGGCCGTAGCAAGAGGCTTTGGAGGCAATGGTGGGAAGGGCAAATGCTTTTTTCCTTTCTTCCTAAATTAACTCTCTGACCTGTACTCTCCGGTGACGATTGTCCAAGAGGCACTGACTGACCAGGTTGTTTGATCGCCTTACAGATCATGATTCTGGAAGGAAGTGGTGTAATGAATCTCAACCCCAGCACCAACCTCCTCCACCAGCAGCCCGCCTGGACAGACAGCTACCCCATGTGCAATGGTAAGCCCCTCCCTGCCCCCCTCCTGTGGGTGTTGAGTCTCAGGGGGGTTTTGCTTTGCTTTCATTAGGCTTCGTTGTCCAACTTAAGGTATGAGATGCAGCAGGAGATGTGAGGAACCGCGGGGATGGGGGAAGTCTTCGTGCCGGAGTTCTCTCTAGGCCCCCGGTGCTGCAGGCTGAAGCCCACTTGATAGATTTCATGGTTTCCTCCCAAGATTCAAGGTTCTGGGTGGGCAGCCTGGCAGATAGGGTTGTAGAGGAGATGCCCAAAGGGAAGACCACCTGTTGAAACTTTTAGCAGTATTTGGCTTAGGATATCCAGATAGGAGAGAAAGGTGTGTGTGTGTGTGTGTGTGTGTGTGTGTGTGTGTGTGTGTGTGTTGCACGGAAGCATGGATTTCGAGGAGGAGAGGGTTTAGCGGCTTCAACTTTTTATTTCATGCTCCAGTGACCTACCTTTGTCAGGGGAGCAGAGACTTGCCAGGAGACCGTGGGCCCCTCTTTGGTGCTTTAATCTAGAACCTATTGATTAGAAGAGGGAGGGGTTGGTGGTGGGGCTTAGAGAGGGTTTGGTGACCAAGCCCGTGGCTTACTGTAGAAGCGAAACTGAATAAAGTGGTTGCTGAATCAGGGCCCCACACCCCGTGTGAAGGCATTCAGTTTGGGCAGACTGCTGGGCGGTGAGCTGCGGGGCTTTACGGAGCTCTGAGTCTTCTCCTACCCCCGCACATGCTGCTGATCTCCACTCCAGAGATGGCTGCTCCGACTCCCCTAAAAAATGGAAAAGGCCTGTTGTGAGCAGAGTCCAAGGAGGAGCGGGAGGATAATGGAAGGATTATGCTCTCCAATTGCAGCTGGTCCATGTGCAGCTCCGCCTCTGAACGCGGAACCGCAGCCAAACATGGTTGAAAGCGTGCACAGGTGACCTTCCCTTGCTTGGTCACCTGGCCCACCACACTGCTGCCTTTTCGGGGCAGTGACGTTTTCTGTTGCTGTGGGACCTCCAAGGAGGACTCTAAACAGAGCAGGAAGGGTCTTCAGACTGGACCCTCCATTAAACAGCATTTTTCCTGTTTGCTTAGTTGAAAGCTGGGGCCATTTGTTCAGCA